CTATGTGAGCCACAGCAAAGGGGAAGCATTTCAGGCTGGAGTTCAGGGAGAGAGGCTTTTAATATGAATGGTTTCCTCCTTCTTCAAACACCTGGGGCATTCCCACTTTACACTATAACGGTTTGCCTTTATTTCTTCTCTAAATATTTCATTTGTATTTACCCTAGTCCCAGTTTTCTCCACTACATTGTAAATTTCATGAGACGAATGCCTTTGTCTTACATTTCTCATACACACACACACATTTAGAGTTTATTTGGAGAGAGAGGGAGAGAGCATGTGCAAGTGGGGGAGGGGCTGTGAGAGAGGGAGAGAATCCCAAGCAGGCTCCCCACTGTCAGTACAGAATCCATCCCTGATGCAGGGCTTGAACCCATCAAATACGAGATCATGACCTGAGCTGAAATCAAGAGTTGGATGCTTAACTGACTGAGCCACCCAGGTGCCCCTCTCTTGTATATTTTTAGCCACAAGGAGAGTGCTATGAGTTTAGTAGATACCCAATGAGTACCGGTAGATTAATTCCTTCTTTTGATGTGACAGAAACTTCCAGGGATGTTGTATTTTCTCTAGGAGAAAGCTTCATGAGGACAGAAACTATGTAATAGTCATTTTTGCACCTTATGTGAGATCAAGTTTAATTTATTGGTCAGGATACATGCTCCACAATTATCCTTGAAGAGACTGAACAGAAAAGGCAGTGATGGATGGACCAAGTTTGTGATGGCCTCACCAGAACAATTCATAGTGTTAGAAAACAGCGATGGGTGATATTTAGGTTTTCTTCCTTGCATGGGACCACTTACCTTGCATGGTTTGGCCACTCTCTTCTCCTGATATCATTTCCTCATTTGTCTTCCAACACAACACTGCATGTCTGCTATCTTCCTAACTCATCCTCTTTTTCCGGCTCCTCCCCAACCTCCCCAGTGGTGGAGAGGTGGGGCTGGGGGTGAGGATCTCTCAGATGCATTCTTGCATTTAAACTGAATCCCTGAAAAAAATAAAATAAAATAAACTGAATCCCTGAGTATTCTTTATCAATTTCTAAGATTCTATTTTTTTTTCATCTTCAGGTCTTTTTTTTCAAACCTCCAAACTAAAATATCCAGTTGCCCACATGTCTACTTAATATATCCGAAACCGAACCACCCTAGTTCCAGCCCCCAAATCAATTTCTCCTCTAGGGGTCCTCATTTCAACACATGGCGGCACTGTACTAATCGCTCAGGACAAAGCCTTCGAGTCCACTCTGACTCTGCTTTCGACACATCCAGTTCTGACCAAACTGTCAGTTTTGCCTTCCACAGACATTAAAAAAAAAGCTGACCCTCCTTCCCTCCTGCCAGTCTCCACTCTGTTCTGAGCTTCCACTATCACCACAACGTGAGCTCCGTGAGGGTGCACACCTTGTGTTTTGTTCCTTGTGGTATCTTCGGTTCCTGGTACGTTACCGGGCACATTGTCTGTGCTTAGTTCTTGCCTAGATTATTGTAGTTAATTCCCCATCTCTGGATTTCTCAGCCTCAGCACTACTGACATTCTGGGCAGGGTAATTCTCTGTTGTGGGGGCTTTGTGTGGGCTGTAGAGGTCAGTAGCACGCACCCCTGGCCTCTACCCAACCTGACTCCAGTTGCACCTGCCTCTTGCACCATAAGTTGTGACAATCAAAATATCTCCAGACCTTGTGAAGTGCCCACGAGGGGGCAGAACCACCACCATAGCAGGTCTGCTTTTCCTGGTGACCCATGGTGTCTGAGCAGCCAGACTCTTTAAACATGGTAAGTCAGATCTCTGCTTCCTATCCACTCAGAGTAAATTTCAAATACCTTACACTTGTGAGGCCTCTGTCATTTCCTCTGACCTCATCCCTCACCACTGCTCTCTCCATCTCATACCCATTCCTTCCTGATCTTCCAGATATGCCAGGCCTATTCCTGCCTTAGGGCCTCTACACTCACTGTCCCCACCACCTGGAATACCCTGCTTCCAGACTCCTCATGGAGCCTATAAAGCCATATTGTTCTATTCTTGGTGGTCCATAGTCCTCGACCTTACTGCCTCTTGACAAATGTGCCTGGAACAGTGCCTGGTAGTGGTTAGGTGCTCAAAACATGTGTGTTGAGGGAGAGACAAACGGACGGATGGGTGGACACAGAAGACAGTGCTTTATTGAGGCCTTCATGGCCTTCATCCTCTTCTGTCTTTGGCTCTCTCGTAATTCTTGCCAAATCACGATTAGTTCTCTTTCTTCCTAACACTGAACATATGACTGGAACTCTACAAATGGTATGAAACAAACCCATAGAGACAACAAAAAGCCTCAGAGGGAATATCTTTCAGAACTAGCTTGGACTCTGTCTCATTTATGTCCCTGGATTTGGGCTTTATTTGGGGTTAGCAGCACAACTCAGCGAACAGTGCCCACAGTTTGGAGGTGGACTTCGTGGGTATATCCAAGTAATTCCTCAGCCCCAGTGTGATCATGGGCAAGTTACTTTTCCACCTGTGCTCCAAGCCTTTGTCTGTAAAGTGGGATAATGCATAACAGAATTCCTAGAGCTATGTGAGAATTAGAGGGAATTGATTATACATGTAAAGTGCTTAGACATGTGGATAAATATTTGCTAGTATTATTACTCTGTGTATATGCTGTCTTCATGAGGATCTGGTACCTGGTGACATGATAAAGCTTTGAAAGTTTCTGCAAGACACATATATTGACAGCCTACTGAATGCTACGTGCTGTTCTGGGCACTGGAGATATGGGTTGAATAGGACAAATAGGATCTGTCTTCTCGAAATTTACGTTTTGTTTTGATGATGCAGACAATGAGCAGATAAACAAAAAATTATGAGCTAGTGGTAAGTGTAATGATAAAAACAAAACAGGGTGAGGAGATGGGGAGGGAATTGCTTTAGGTTTCATGCTCTCGAAAAGCTGCTCTCTGAGGCAATTTTAAACTGTTACCTGAATGACAAAAGGCAGCAGCCAGCCAAAACCTAGGGCAAGAATTTTTCAAACACAGTAACCAGTCCATGCAGAGCCTTCACCAGGGATCAGGCTTGGTGTGTTTGAGGAGAAGTTAGGCCATGTCGGTCAAGTGGGGTGAATCCCATTGGGGAGAGTAGAAGAAGAAAGTAAGTCAGAGGGGTTGAGTCATGAGCACTGTAGACCACACTGAGAATTTTTTAGAGGGCTGGGAATCATGGGAAGGCTTAAAATGAGAGAATGACATTTTACAAACGATCCCTCTGGTTGCTGCTGGGTTGAGAAAGGCCTGCCATTAGGCAAGCCTTAAAATAGGGACAGCAGTGGGGGACAATGACAAGTAAAACATGTGGCCAATGAGGGTGATGATGATGGAGGTTCTGTCACAATGTGATGCTTAGATGTAGCTCGGAATCTCATTACTAATGTGAGGCCTCATGACAGCATGTGGCTGTTTCAGACCAAACCTCCTGGCCCCGATGGTGATTGCCTTACCCCTTCAGCTCTCTTGCCTTTTTTCCTCTGAGATTTTGCTGTAAACTTGTAATGTGATCAGTGTGGGGGAAAGGGAATGAGGCTAGATTCCTTTTGCTTCTAGAACATTCTTCTCTGACTCCTAGGAATCTTAAGAGAAGCTAAACTGGTGTTGAATCTAAAGGGAGAGAACAACAGTGTCTAAATAAAGACCAGCCAAGAATTATGTGCCGACAGTGGACTATTTATTAAATATCAGCTTTTGGACAATGACAGTAACTATATGTGAATGATATTTGTTTTTAGGAATATTGAAAAAAAAAACACAGAGACGTCTTCTAAAGGTTAAAAATAGAAAGGGCCCTTGTACTCCCATTCCATAAACTCTGTTATGAATGAGGTTGTATGTTTCACATTTAATAAACAGTCACTAGCTTGGAAGGATTTCTTTTCTGGATCTAATGGACTGAAGCCCAAAGTTTTTTTTTTCCTGTTCTAATTTATATCACTATTTATAGACCTACCATTTTCCATAGTTAGCATGCTTTTCAGAATGCAGGAAAGAGGCCAAATGAAGTTGCTACAGGTCTTCTGCTTCCTGGTTATTCACACAAGGCAAACCACCCTGAGTGAAGCCAAGTCCTTGAAGCAACAATCTTTGATCAGCCCACGTCAGCTCCCTCCTCCAATGGTCCATACTAGATCACTTACGGGGAGGCCTGCTTTAGGGTTGCCAGATGAAAGTCCAGGACATCCAGTTAAATTTTAATATAAGATTTTAAATTATGAAGAATTTCTTTTTAGCATCAGTATGTCCCAAGTTTTATAGGGACAGATAGTATTTGTTTATTTGAAATTCAAACTTAACTGGACATCTGTGCTTTTATTTGCTGACATGGCAAGCCCAGCCCTCGGTGGGGATGGGTGTGAAGCATTTCCAGCAGTAGAGGTTACTTAATGCCACACACTGGCTGCCTCTTTGGGCCTGTCCATCTCTGGTCACCCACTTCCCTCAACCCAGCTGGATTGTAAATGGGTATTGTCACGGGAGTGAGCAACTCTCTTCACCTACTTTCCTGTGTCTCAGTTAAACTCCCAGCACTATATTTAGGGCATTATTTCCTTCTTTCCTATAGTAGAAGCTATTTTCTATCTATCCATCCATCCTTCCATCCATCCATCCAACAAGTATTTATGGAACACCTTTTAAGTATCAGACACCACGCGGCAAATCCATAATCTCCCTGGGAACATGTCATGTGGACAATTTCTGCTCTGTCTTAGAGCCAGCTTCTTGGAAGTCCTCCAGAACACAGGAAGCAGCTGTTGCAATGAACAAAACAGCTCTGATCCCAGCACCTCTGGACTCGTCCAACTGAGCCAGAGATATAGAGATATCTCGGATGCTGCCAGTTGCCCTGGAATGAGTCCTGACCTGTGATATGTGGTACAGGGAAGCTGAGAGCCAGACAGGACTGTCCTGTCCTATCAGTTAAGGAAGGCTACTTGTTGTAACAAACAGACTTCAACATGTGTCATCACACTAGAAGTTTATTTTTTGCTCAAGTAATACTTCTGGGGAGATGTAGAGGTTTGTGGGGCAACCCACTCGGCACAGTCATTTGTGGGTTTGAACTGGCAGAGGCTCTGTGGTCTTCACCAGGCCACTGGTCTTTTCCAAGGTTGCCCAGGGGTCATCATCAGTCCAGCCGGCTATAAGAGGACCAGGGCATGGAGGCACGCATGGGAGATTTGACCAAGCTTATAAGTGGCCCACATTGTTTCCTCTCAGGTCCCTTGGACAGCCACATAGCCTCTCCTAGTTGCAAGGGAGGGCAGGCAAAGTGTCCCCAGAAAGAAGAAACAAACACAGATTCAGTTAACTTCTCTGAGCCTCAGTTCCCTCATTTACAAAATACTCTACTGATTGCCAGTTGGTAAAATGTCTGCTGGGACCCACCACTGGCAGGTCTGACAGCATTCCCCAGCAACCCCCCCACCCCCCACTTTGCCAGCAACAGACTTCCCACCCCCATTCTGGGGATAAAGGAGATCTGATCCCTTTTGCATTTTCCCAACTGCCTGCTTCTTGATTCTCACCCTTCTCAGACCAGCTGCCTGGAGCAAAGCCACTTTATCTTGTAGGTTATGTTTGAGTAGTTCACTTACTGGCACTTTGCAACTTTGAGTACATTTCTCCATAAAAGCAGATGGTATGGGGATCACAGCCAAGGTCCAGCCTCCATCTTCTGGCCCAAGGCAACTCTAAGAGGTGGGCTTGAGAGAGCCCCTGGCACCTGAGCAGTTCCCATGGTAGCATCTGAGAAGGTTCTGCAGCAGGAAACTGGTGGAGTTCTGGGCCCCAGAGGCTTTGTGAATGGCTGGTTCCCATGGCAACCATGGGGTGGCCTCCACAGCTGCTGGGAACTGAGTACCCTTGGTTAGAAGCTGACAGTAAGCCCGGTTACAAGCTTAGGGCTTGTAAGCCTGGAATTGCCTGGGGTTGCAACCTGGAGCAACATGCCAACAAACACTTATTGATTATCTGCTTGCCAAACACTGTCGTGGATGCTGAGAACCCAGGAATAAGACATAGTCACTGGCCCTCGCATGCCAGCCTCAAGGGGTGAGGTAAACACACATCTACGGCAGAGAAGGACAGTACTGTGTGACCCAGGCAGGGGAGAGGTAGTCTGGAAGACTCTGGGTAGAGAGCTTTGGTCTAAGCCATGGCCATGGCATGTGCAGAAGTGTGAAGTGCAGCTGCAAAGATGCTTCTATGAGGTCATGTGCAGGGGGAGTGTGTGTGTGTGTGTGTGTGCAGGGAGGAATGGCATGGGAGCTGTTGGCAGATCCCATAGGATCTGGAGCACCCTAAGAACTTTGGCTGATATGGGCTTAGACGCTTTCTCAGAGATGAGCATTCGAGATGGGTGAGTCCAATGGATCCATGAATATTTTCAAAAATTGTATCTAGTTTTAGATTCTTTGAATTCATATAAAGTGAGGAAAAACTTGGGGATGTTTCTCTGATGTTTGGTAAATCTTTCCCACTGACAAAACCCATCTGCACTATCCAAATGACCATGATTGGGGTTCTGGCCTGGAGACCAAAGCTATAACCCTCTGAAAAAGCTGGAAGAATTGTCATTGCAGAGTCTGTCCTCCAGGGGGCGTCTTTGTACACAGTGGGCATTCTTTCCCTTGGTTCTGAGCCGCCCCACCTCACCTCCTGCCTCATCTGCACTCCAGGCAAGGCCCACCTTAAGGTCCAGGTGTCCACACCCCCTGGATGACCAACAATCCTGGTTTTAGTACTTTTAAAAAGTACCACATTTCACAAAACTTCTCAGTCCCAGCGGTAACCTTCAGGACAGAGGAAAGTTTGAGCCCAGACCTCTGGCTTATAGGACGTTGACTGGCAAGTGAAGCTACAGAAAAGTGGCTTTGAAGCCAGGCCTGCCCAACAGAAGTTTGATTTCTCTGCTCGATATTTTTCTGTGTGATGTTGAAGTTAGTTCACCTTTCTGAACACTAGTTTCTCACCTGTTATAGTGGAAAAAAGAATACTTATCTTAAGAGAATGGAAATAATGTACGTTAAACACTATCACCTAGGAAGTGCTCAGTAAATGGTGTTATTTTCTAGGAGAAGGCATATCAACAGTCACCGTATAATGTGAACAAATGTATTAAGCTTTATAATGAAGGTTGAGGGGCATATAACTGCTTCTGGGGTTCAGGGAAGTCCTTCAGTTGCTACCAATTGCTGACAAAACTCCAGGGTATGGCTCTCACACATCCCCTGTGGACTGTGATTAAAAATTAGAGAAAAAGGAAATGCAATATAGTGAGAGCATACTGAGTAGCAAACAAATTTGAGTAGTGAGCTAGCAGACACCAAGTATAAGCAGTCTCTGAACTCCAGTTCAGTTCATGTCAGAGATGAACCTGTCAGTGGAAGAGTCGTTTTAGACTCCAAAGCAAGTGCTTTGGAGCAGAGAACTGGCTAGGCCTGGTGAGAGAGCACAGGTATTTCAGAATTCTCTGGAAGTTCTGGAATATTCTAGTATATTCTGGAATGCACTTCCTGTGGGTGAAACCAGAGGGCAGGGAGAAGTTCACACAACTGTGTTTGTGAGGAGTGGGTTTGTTGACTTGTCTGCTTGTGGGGTGACCCAAGGAGGACCACAGCAGGCTTGTAGTCACATCTGAGGAGTTCTGCCCCTTTAAAGAGACCCAGACTCTAGATAATGATGTAAACTTCCTCTAAGAGTGTAGCCAGGTCTAAACTCTACCCCAGTTTCTTTCCCAGAAAGCCCAAGTAATATTAAATGTGGAAAATTGGTACCTTCCTCCTCTCCCCTCCATACTTGGACATCTCTTCAAGGTCATCTTTTGTGCTGAAGCTGTTGAGAAGGTACTATTCTTTCTTGTTCAGAAGTTGTAGCCCCTTGGGGCGCCTGGGTGGCTTAGTCGGTTGAGCGTCCGACTTTCGCTTAGGTCATGATCTCGCAGTTCGTGGGTTCGGGCCCCACGTCCGGCTCTGTGCTGACTGCCAGCTCAGAGCCTGGAGCCTGTTTCAGTCTGTGACTCCCTCTCTCTCTGACCCTCCCCTGCTCACGCTGTCTCTCTCTCTCCTAGAAATAAATAAANCGAATTCTGTGCCTCCCTCTCTCTCTGTCTCTCCCCTGCTTGTGCTCTCTCTCTTTCTCTCTTTCTGTCTCAAATTAAACATTAAAAAAATGGGGCGCCTGGGTGGCTTAGTCGGTTAAGCGTCAGACTTTCGCTTGGGTCATGATCTTGCGGTTCGTGGGTTCGAGCCCCGCGTCGGGCTCTGTGCTGACTGCCAGCTCAGAGCCTGGAGCCTGTTTCAGTCTGTGACTCCCTCTCTCTCTGACCCTCCCCTGCTCACGCTGTCTCTCTCTCTCCTAGAAATAAATAAAACATTAAAAAAAATTTTTTTAATAAAAAAAAAGAAGTTGTAGCCCCTTGACATCTGAGAATGTCACTGACAATGACACGTAGCAAGATTAGTGACAAACAGGTCTCCAACCTCTCAAGAATGCTTCATCTCTCAGGACCAATGGTGCCAGTAATGGTGATGGGGAAGATGGCTTTGGAAGGAACAGCTGGACCTGGTGCCTTTGCCTCAGATGCCATCCAAAATGGTGGATAATTAAACATCCCTCTCCAGAGCTGTGTGAGGAGGCAGCTTATAAAACAAGGGCAAGTCTGGGTCTGCTGTCCTGTGTGTACTTGAACAAATGTTCTGCCCTGACTTCTCTGTTAAATCATCTTTCTACCCTTCAGCTCTGTGAGGGACTAAACATCATCACCAGGACCACATGCACATCTTTAACGGTTGAGCCTTTATCTAGGGGACCGTTAATAGGTGACAGTGACCCATGGGCATTTAAAATGTAAGCTCTTCAAGGTATAAATGTCCTTGACAGCAGCATCTCACCAGAGTGAGATCTCTCACTGCTTTGTCTGCTCATCTGCTTTATCTCACCAAAGTGGCCCTGGCAGCAGATGGAGGTCTTCCCTATGCTTGGCATTTTTCTATGCATGATTTGGATTACAAAATCAATTCCTAAGTAGGGCCCCTGGAACTTAGTCCCATAAAATGTGTGCTTGAGTTATAATGAGTTAGGTGGAATGGCCAGGGGAGGTCGGCATGGAGAGCAGGAAGCGATCACCTTCTCTGTCTATTCATCAGATCTTATATTATTGTGAGTGCGTTATCATGGGGCTTCATTGTGTATCAAATAGAAACATCATTTCCACTAAGTGCAAAGAGAGCAAACTTTACCTGTACTTCCAGGTGTAGTTCGTGTGGTGATGAGAGATTTGCAGGCAGAGAGGCCTCGGTTTGAGCTGCAGAGGAGGTCTGTCCTGATGAGCTGACCCCAGTACCGTAGCCCCTTCCTGTCACCCGAGCAAGGAGGCCATGTGTGGGATGGGGCTGACTCTGCTGCACACCTGCTGAGCCCCTGCGCCGGGCAAGGGGCCCTCAGAACAGCGCCTGGGTGCCCCCTCCCCTGAGGACCTGCCAGCGAGTGGGGTAGGACTTCTTGATCCCATTAGGCCACAGCTGTCCCTGCCTGGACACCATGACCAGAGCATGGGCCTGGTTTCCATCACTTGAGCATTGATTTGGCTTGTAATCATCATCAGAGGGCATATTCCAGGTTCGTGGTTTAAGAAAAAGCACACTTTTGTCTGCAGCTGAGGACCCATTCCGTTCTGAGCCTTTAATAAGCTGCTCCAGGCTCAGCACTGCTGTGTCTCTTATCTGACTCCAACCATACAGCTCTGATTTCTGAGGCAGGTGGGCATGATGCTGGGAAAGGCATACAGGCCCCTTTTCTGGATATTCCCAAGTGTAAATGTGGCCAGATAAATGTGTGCTGTGTTACTGTGCCAGGAATTCAGCGGGGAGGCTTGGGGCTCTGCATCCTAACAGGAAACACCCAATAAACCACCGGCCTCAAGGCTCTGCTGTTTTAGTGCAGGGCTTAAATGCAATCTCCTTCAGGCCGCCCAGGTACCTTCGGCCAGATTGCTGCTCAAAGCCCCACACGGAATGTGGCTTCCTGAACCCCCAGCCTGATCCGACAGAGCCGACTGGGTTGCTCTTACATGCAGGGGGAGTTCACAGTGCATTGACTCACTCTCCTCTGCACATCAGGATGACTTGTGGGAACAGGGGAAGTGGTTGTGCTCTGCTCAGCCGGGCACCCATTCACCTATCGGAGACTTTCCAAACCAGCTGGATGAGGCCCAGGGTGTACTCCAGGATCCAAGGAACAGATTTTGCCTCTGAGTGCAATGAACCCACCTTCACCATTTCTTTAAGTTATAACTCGCCCAGGCACTCTCAGTCAGCTCTCTGACAATCAAGGATGGATGGAATTTCTATTGGCCAGATAACCAGAAAATTAAAGCTTCTGTTTTAAAGAGTCTTACTTAAGAAAAAAAAAAAAAGCCATACTTTAGCTACAGGCAGGTTCTGTCATTGCTGACCCCCAAGGAGGCTGGCCTGATGGCTATGGGCTTGGCTGACCCACAGTTAGAGGGTGGCCTTCGAGGCTGAGCCCAGTGCATCCCAGCAGATGACGCATGCGCAGTAAACCCAGCAAGGGCCATGGGGGCCAGTGACAAACAAGTCGTGGCTAGCTCCTGATGCTCAGGAATCTGGGGTCAACTTGGGATCAGTGGTGCCAGAGGATTTGAAACAATTGTAACCAGCAGGGCAGCCTCTGGTGTATCAACAATGGAACAAAGTATGTGCAGATACAATTATGCCATCCCTGAATTAAGTCAACATTTTCCTTGCAGCAAAGCCTTTTACTCATCAAGTGAGAGCACCCATGGCTAGTGTTTAGCCACCTGTCAGTACAATGACCTATGACCTGATTGGTCACCTTTTGCCATGGATGTAAAATTCGTAGTTGTTAGGGGAGGTGTCTGCCAACTTCTGATGAACAATTGAGTCCAACCCAATCTGATTTCACCCACATCTTCCATTTTTAGCTGTAGGTTCTTGTGAAGCTTTGACAAGAATGTCAGGCCTGGATATGTCTCTCTCACTGTGCCTGCCTGATGCAATGTTAACTTGATGGCAAA